TACTGAATCTGTCAATTAAGTCTAGAAGTTTTTTGGTGGAGTTTTTTGGATCTTCAATGTAGAGCATCATATCATCAGCAAATAATGATAGTTTAACTTCTTCCTTTCCTATCTTTATTGCTTTAATTTCTTTCTCTTGTCTAATTGCTGTGGCTAATGTTTCCAGAACTATATTGAAGAGAAGTGGTGATAGTGGGCATCCTTGTCTTGTTCCTGATTTTAACATGAAGGTTTTCAGTTTTTGGCCATTCAATACGATGTTGGCTGATGGTTTTTCATAGATAGCCTTTATTAAATTGAGGTATAGACCATCTATTCCAATTTTTTGCAGGGTTTTTATCATGGGTGTTGAATTTTATCAAATGCTTTTTCTGCATCTATTGAGAGGATCATATGGTTTTTGTCCTTGACTTTGTTAATATAATGTATTACATTCAGGCAACATTATTCTTAAAAGCAACCAGAATAAAAGTCAGATGTGATTCAAGAAATGACAAGTCAACTGACTTCTCACAGTAACAACTGAAGGGAGAAGAGAATGGAATAATATAGTGAAATACAATAGCTGTTAGCCTAAAAAAAAAGTTATACCTATTAATTTATTATTTAAAATTCAAGGAAAAATGCATATACTCTCACTTAAAAGGACAGAAGGAGTTTACCATTGATAGATACTCACTATTAGCTCTTTCTAAGGATAAGACTCAGCAGAAGAAATTCAACTCAGAAGGAAAGAATGAAAGTTAAGAAGCAAGAGTGAACAAAAATCTTAAACACATGATGTGAACCTAAAGAAATGGTTATTTGAAACAAAAATAACTAAGGACTTACAAAAGCAAAATAGCTATGAAATGCATGATCCTTAACATGTACAATGGAATGGCATTCTAAGTACTGGACTTTTCCAGATAAAGATCTGAAGATTGATAAATTTCAGACTTGAAAAGTATGTGTGAAGAGTATAAAGATTACCATTAAAAGTAGAGATATGAATGCATACATAAATACATAAAACTTCAAACCAGCAGAAAAAATGGTATGTTACAACTTACTGATCTTATTTATAGATGGTGAAAATGTAGAAATGATGGCACAAACATAAAACAAAGTAAATAGAAAGTACTAAATAGGATATTAGCAAGAAATCTGAATTTATCAGTAAGCACAATAAATGCCAATTGATAAACTCACCTTTTGAAAGGTTTTAAACAGCTATCTATATGCAGTTTACAAACAACACATGTAAATCTAAAACTACATAGCGAAAATAAATGGATAGTGACATAAAAGAAGAGGAAAAAAGAAAGGAAAGAGAGGGCAAAATACAACTGGAAAAAGATCATTATATGGGATAAAATAAACTTTATAACCATAATATGCATTTAATAAACAAACATGAAGGCTTGCTTATTTTAATTCAGCTTTCTCTCAAACTGATAAGTCAAACAACAAAACCATCAGCATGTACGGAAAAGGCTGAAAAAAACACTTAAGCAGAATTTTGAGCCAAGAGAAATAAGCTAAGAATTCAATTCAATAGGTTAGGGAAAGAAAAAAGATAATCCTGAAGAAAATTAAAGGAAGAACTAAAAGCTGAGGCAAAGTTTGATAAACAATTAAAGTTTGATAAAAATATTCAGTTTGCTTCCTAATTTTGTATAGAAAGACATACTATTTTCCCCCCAAGAAACACCCTGTCACTTGGGTATAAGGACTTGGGTTTCTAGAGAAGTGCTAATTCGGCAACATC